CAATTGGGAGGAGATATCGATACATAAATGTGCTATAGTCGCTACCAGTGGCGGCGCGTCAATAGGGCCAACCGGGGCAATGCCCCGGTTGTTTTTTTGGTATAATAAAAAATATTCGAAAAATACCTCAATATCGGTTGCACAGACTGCCTACACTAGCCATATTCTCCCAACATGGTTCATTTTTCGCTCGCAAAGCCTTCGCCGAACGTCGACGGGGCGACGCCGATTTTGCCCCGGTTGCTCATTGTATATCGTATTCTCTTATTTATCTTCCACTCGCCGCGTTTGTCTCGTTTGTTTTCTGTTTCTTTTACTAAATCATCGGGGCCGATCGGAGCTAGCCCCGAAATTATGACGACACAATGCCGACGTTTCTTACAACAACGTGTTGACATATTCACGCATTCCTTCTCGTTCGTTGGTTGCTTGAAGAGTTGATAGTTTCCTCGCCTTCGTTTTTGTCGCTTGTTTCGCTATTTGAATCAGTTGGAGACCTTTAGTCCATTTGCTTTCGATTTTTCACATTCCTTTTGAGCTCCTCACTTCTTTCCGGCTTCGCATTTTTTAGCCTTAGACCTCATAATGAATAAGGTTGATGCACTACTTCGCACTCCGTTTTCGCAGCTGCCGCTGGAACAAAAATTAGAGGTACAACGTCTTGGGCCTTATCAACCAAAAAATTGTTCACTGGAACAATCCCATGACAGAGGAAAGCGTCGGCGTACATTCTGCGCAGAAACTTGGTATAAAAAACACGAATGGTTGTGTTACAGCGAGGACAAAAATGCACTTTTTTGTTTTTATTGCCTACTTTTTGCTACCGCCCGTGACTCACGTTGGTGTAAATTTGGTTTTAGAGATCTTAAACATCTTTCCGAGCGTGCCAGGGATCATCAATCTTCTATGGAGCATCTGGACAATGCAGTAAAATACCGAACATTCGGAAATGTTAATATTGCAGCACAGTTGAATGAAGGACGCGTGGTTTCTATTCGTCGGCACAACCAAAACGTCGAGAAAAACCGCCATGTTCTCGGTCGATTGATAGATGTTTTGAAGTTCATTGGTTGTCACGAGCTGTCCCTCCGTGGGCACGATGAACGGGCTGGCTCTTCTAATAGAGGGGTATTTTTGGATATGGTGAAATACACCGCATCCCTAGATACAGTATTGAGAGATCATCTTGATGCCGCAACTGTTTCGATAGGGACATCTAAGGATATCCAAAATGATTTGCTCGACTCAATGTATAAAATTTATTTACAACATTTGGCTCTGGAAATTGAGAACTGCCAGTTCCTTTCGATTCAGTCTGACGAGACAACTGACATCACGTGCGTTTCCCAACTGGCTGTGATTTTTCGGTTTGTGAAAGATGGTAAACCTACCGAGAGATTTCACAGCTTTGTACCAATCGTTGATCGCACGGCTTGCGGGATATCGGCTTTACTGAAAGAAGTGTTACAGCCTTACAACGCGAAGTCAAAATTGATAGCTCAAACTTATGACGGCGCGGCAGTCATGCGTGGGTCGAAACATGGTGTTCAAGTTTATATAAAAGAAGATTTTCCTCATGCGCATTTTTTACATTGTTATGCACACCAATTTGACCTCGTTATTAAAAATATGTGTCTTGATACCCCTCTCATCCGTATATTTTTTTGCAAATGTTTCGGGGTTTTCTTCATTTTTTCCGTTTCGCCGAAGCGCTCTGACCTCCTTTGCCAGATATGTAGCCGACGTCTCCCAGCTTGTGCACCAACACGTTGGAACTTCCAATAACGCGTGGTGCAGGGCGTGTCCGAAATTAGGTCTGAGCTCATTGAGTGTTTCAATGGCATTCAGAGCTCTCCGGTTTGGGACGAACGCTCTGTGAGGGAGGCGGCAGGTCTAAAGCGTCTGCTAGAAGATGGTGAGTTTTAATTTTTTCTCCACAATATTCTATCACGTGGATGTATTATACGACGCATTGCAGTCAAGGCTAATGGATGGAGCGTCTGTGCAGTCGTGTATTTCAGACTTCTGCGATGCTGTATCTCGTATCCGGGAAACAGTAAAATACGACGACACATGGAGTGCTTCTTTACGCCGCGGGCAAACAACGCAGCGTTTGATTTTGTCTGCAAAGGAATGCTGTGACATTCTGGTGAATCAAATAGGCGATTGTCTGCGCACTAAAACACCTTGCCGCGTTCTCTTTGATGCACCCCAAAAATTTTTCAAAATTTGCACGTCAATTTCCCATCCATTTGTTGGCTACTGTCTCCAAATTTTACCCCATGATAAACGTGGGTAAATTGGAAAACGAATTACGATGTATATACACCAATCAAACTTTTTTGAACATCACATCAACTTGCGCGCTCTATGGGTTCCTCATAGATAACACTCTAGTAACTACCTATGCGGCGTCTGCAAAATTTCTGGACATCATTTTGACGACGCCCATTTCTTCCGCCGACGCAGAGCGAACATTCAGCACGCTGAAGCGTATTAAAACGCATCTCAGAAACACAATGAATCAAAATAGATTAAATTCCTTCGCTGTTTTATCCATTCACAGAGACGTTATTTCTGGGATGCATGACTTTAATCAGCGCGTTATTGAGCATTTTGCTTCCAAGAAACCGCGGCGTGTTTCATATATGTTCAAGCAGTAGAAGTCTAGCAGCATATATATCTATGAGTGAGCGACGCATGTCCTTATCTTTGCATTAACTTTCCTTTCTTCATAGTAACGTTTTAAACCTTATTTTAGGTTTTGTCTGCTTTCCCGAAGTTTCTGTTAATATGTCATTGTATTTATCTGGGTAAATATTGCCTTTCCTTTTGAAAGAGGTTTCAAGATAAACTATGTCTATATTTATTAATCCCTTGACATGGACCGGGTTTTAAAGACACTTTCTTATTGTTAAAAATTGTCGCTTTTGCCGATTGGTTGTTACCGATGGAATGGTTTTTATACTCATAAAATGATGGGAGAACTTACAGCGCTCATCCTGTCCCCGTAGATGGGGGTGACTTGGTCCCGCTGTAGTTTGCCCCGGTTGTCAAAATGACCACGCGCCGCTACTGGTTGCTACGTACATACATAAAAATCACAATACCTCCATAAAAGTGAGCTACTTCATGGCAGAAATACTCGCAAAACAATCGAAGCCATTCTCAGATTGAGAATTCGTTAAGCAATGTATTGTTCGGGTTGCCAATATTTTATGTCCGGAAATAAAAGTGACGTTTGCAAAAATAGGCAAGACAGACGATTCTCGCCGTGTTGAAGAGCGAAAGCGCGAAAGTTTTCATCGTATTCCTTGGCGCTTGACAAAAGCACTGACATCAAGTCTTCTGCTAATTATGTGTGGAGTTATTGATGCTTTGCGAAATTATCGAAGAGCTCTTAGCCATTGTCCCAATTATGGGCACGACCTCAGGTATTGAGTTGTTGAGAGCTGTGATGAAAATGATCAAATGTCTTGGTTTGTCTTCGGCAAAACTTTCGGGAATGACCACCGATGGCGGCCCATCAGTGGTTGGGAAACAACAGTTTTATTGTTCTAATATTTGTGAAAGTTTGGCGTGAGGGTATTGTTTGTTTGTTCATTAACCTGTAGTCAGTGTAGCAAAACTATCATGTTGAGTGGCCCGCGCACATAATAGTAAACTAAATGTGGCCCTTCGGTCAAAAAGGTTGCACGACCCTGGGTTAGTGCAAAGCCGTAACCGACATGAACCACCAACATAGCGAGTCCAGCAAGCCTCCCGCCTAATAATAATCTCGCTTTCCCGATGCGCCACACCGCGACCCGAAAAAATATGAGACATCGGAATATAGGCATATGGCTCTCGATTTCACAGCGACGAACATAAATGTAAATGAGATCGGAAATATAGAAACAAATAGGTAAATTTGACTTGGTTGTCAAATATTTGTTATTGCGTAGTTTTATCTTATATTTTATCGTATATTAACGTTGAGTTTGGTTGCACGAGACTATCTCCCCATCTTGCCTTTATGCTAGTGAATCCGTATGCGTATACTGCAAGGATACTGTAGCCAATTAAAGAGTCCTGATGTTTCGTTCTTGCCATTGTTGTAAACTGCTTGTCTGAGGTAGGTGGAGTCTGACTTTGATCGGACGAAACGTTTCAGAAATATATTTGTGTTAGTGTGCAGCTTGACCCTTTAATTTGATAGAATAATTTATATATTTTGTTAGATAATCGGTTTTGATAATCTATTTATTTTTTCTCAACCACTTTATTGCCTGTTATGCTTGTTATGGAGTCGAAATAAACTTATACACCTAAAGTGCTTGAGAAATTGGAAATGTATCTTATTGTTTAAAAAGAAAATTAAAGTACTCTATTAGGCTATACCAAAAAAAGTTCTTAAATCCGAATTGGCAATGGATAAATTTGGCAAAATAAAATAAAGAATTTGTTTCGTTGTAATCAGCCCTCACCCCTGAATAACAAATAACATAATAATCTTATGATAGATAAATTTAAAAAAAAATGGTATTCTTGAATATCTATGTCCTAGATTCTGCTATAATGTGGCACACTATGTCTTTATAATATAAATCATACACGAGTACCTAATTTTTCGTTTTATTTATAAGTTAATTGCTATTAGTATCTGGCGTGATAGAAGCATTAGCAGAATGAAGATGACAAAATTTATAATATATATAGTATCAAATGCTGTACACGGGATTGTTTTAATGAAAGCACCGTATTTTCTTTCGGTTCAGTTGAAGTAATCAAAAAGACCCATAAAAGCTATGCTAGATCTAGCTAACATAATCAATGATTATGAACACTTGAAAAGCAGAATTTTAATATTGATTTTGGAGGACATTTAGGTCAGTTTATAATCGCAAACTGAAGAAATCACTCTCGAGATATCCATCAAAAATTTTCTTGTCATAGAGTAAAGACGAATTATTCTGAGGTCGCGGGTCGGGGGAAATCCAGTAGAGTTAATTACACTGCAATTATATGTTCCAATCTTCCTTTATCATTTCTGAAGCTTTCCGTCCAATCATATAACAAGGAGCTTGGGTGTTAGATGAAGTCTCATGAGGCATGACGGATGCATCGGCAACTCTCAGGCTTTCGACATATCGAACCCTGTACAGCAAAAGGCAAATGGTCAACAATGCGAGATCGACTTCACAAAGTAAATTTTATACATTTCAGCATTATATGTATCGATGTAAAATGTATCCATCATATATATATATATATATGTTTAATTACAAAATCTTGCTATAATTTTACAGCATATATAAACAATTGATTCAATTACATACCTAAGTCTTTCGTCAACGACTGCCATTTCATCATTTTCTTTTCCTATTTTAGCAGTACAGCATGCGTGATATCCAACACCATAATTTTTCACGTAACATCGATATAACTCATCGGGCCTTTGAAGTAATTTTTCTTACCAAAATCGTAATGTAATATATCTATATTTGACAACGTTTTGCAGCTTGTAGAATTGGATGTAAAATTTATATTTGAATATATATTCGATCTCATTTTCACGATAATGCATTACATATTTGCGATCGGTGATATAAATATATATATGGTTCCCGTACATTTGAATCCACGACAGTTGCAGCTGCATACTATTATTGCACCTATGGGATTTTTTTTGTTTTGCGGATATTTGAACCCATACTAACCTAACCATGGGTTTTAGCACTCGTATATATACACATGGGTTCAAATGTACGGTCACCTAAACATATACCTGCACGGAAAATCTGGCAATTTCTGTTGAACAGCAGTTAACATTCAGCTTCATTTAAATGGTATCATGATGTATTTTTTTTATCAACAAATTATACAATTGTGTACTGTATGCAATATAGCTCGTTATACTTTATAGCTATGCTGTATGAGTGGATGTTTCATAAAAATGTAAAAAGTATTTAAAAGAAAGTTAGTTATAATATGGGAAGGTCACCTGGGAGGCTTAGTGTAGAGCGATCCGTTGCATACTTCTGGTGTTATCAGGCGAAACCCGATTCCTTTCATAGTTTGTGACATTTCGAATTCTTCCAGCTTTCTAAATCCTGAAAATAGCCTGTTGAGAACCAAGCTAATGAAAGGTTTCTGCTTTCTGTTTAGCTCATCTTAATGTAGTTGCCAGACTCATGGTTTAACTTTATATACATGAAAAAATTTCTTTATTCATAAAAAAAACTCTTGGTGGATTCTAATAATGAAATATAAATTTTGGAAAATTTTTTGTATGATATCCTGCGTCAAATGTTTTTCAATGATTGGCATGATAAAAGTATGATGATTATGGTAAAACCATTGCAACAGCGGCCTAAAACTGGTAACCAAGTTGTCCCCAATCATAACACGAAGCGTTAGCCAGGTTGAGATTTATGCCGGTAAACTTCAGTTTTGTAACCGTTGAAAAGATGTCTTTATTCAGTTAGGTGAGGTAGATTGTCAAATTAAGCCGTTCATGACCATCATAAACCGCTGTTTGAATGGTGTAGGCAGTTTTATCACGGAGGTCTAGACAGGTGGCGTTATCATGGTTGTACTTAAAATTGAAAGTATATAGATGGGTTTCACTGTTCAAGATTGGGCGATAATAAAATCAACTTTTCCTGGGAGAGTTACCTTCAATGTACATCTTTATATCATCTTCTTCGGATAGATAATTTGGATCAATAATAGGTTGGTTAAACGGATTCGTCGAATTTAATCGAATTGCACCCTTTGATTTAGGATGCTGAACTCCCAATAACAGTGCGGTATTAAACCTATACTGAAATATAAATTTGTTTCATTACTCGCCAACAGTCTTAAGGACCATGCATTGTGATTCAATTTCTTACGTTTCTTTTGTCTTGAAAGGCAAAGGTGCATCCTTTGGGGTAAAAGTGCTTGTAATACTAGGAAATGGTCGTTTTCTAAAAGGGAAAAGGTAATTACAATATATATTTGTATATATATATCATCTTACATAACAGTGGTCTTGAAACAACCCAATAACAATACTCTTTAAACTACTATTTATTTACCGGGCTGTCATATCAAATCAACAAAATAGTGGACAGTATATTCATATTCGCCATAATTTACCATTGTAAAATAATATGTTGGTTTGACGTAAAGCAGATAATTATATTAGTGCATTTTCAATTTTGGAAAAAAAAATTATATTCGCTTACTTGGTGCTTAGGCTCACATTAGTTCCAAAATACTTTTGTCTTATGATGAAGCACAACACCACTGCCCCAAACAGCTGAGTTATATCCGGTACCGTTCATGATGTATTCCATAATAGATTCCGTTGTCTAAATAGAGATCTCAATTAAATTTCAATTTGCAGTTTTTCGCTCACTTTTGCATATCCATCCGAATAGGGAGTTGTTGGAAATTAATTTCAAAATGCTCAATGTGTGGTGTTATTACCAGTGTTTACTTTTTATAATACGGGACTTGATTTAGAAGAATAAAAAGCTAATGGGCAAAGTAAAATCACGCTACCAAATGTATATAGCACTGCTACCTAAATTATATTATTCTACTTGTTACCTTCAGACGATAAATATCCTAAAAATGATTGGAAACATAACGTCAAAAGACTAGAATATATTCCCCTACTTCAACATTGTTAGAGCATCATGTAACGGTACTGGAGGCCACGTTTTGTTTTTATTGTTGGTTTTTACAGGGACGTATATTGCAAGATAAGGTTGCGGGTTCACTTGTTCTAACCCAAATTTTTGCTAATTTAGACATTGCTCCGATGTGAAGTTTCATGAAATCTTTTTTTGTTACTCTCTCACACACTGTACTTACTGATTGTGTTGCATACAGGTAGTCGTCAATTGCGTGATAAACGTAAAGCCCCATATGATCTTGAAGATTCGCTCCCACGCCTGGCAAATCCTTTACAACTTCTATCTGGAAGGCAAAAGTATTTCAGTCGAACGTTCGGAATTAACGACATTGTCATTCACGCCTACACGTTATGTATTTATGGTGATTCAGTTGTATTGAATAATCTGATTAGGAGAGAAACATTTCAAATTCAATACGAGTCAAATACTGGATTAACATATTGGAGTCAATTGTTGAAAAATGCTCTCCCTGATCAGAGTGATAAGAGCGATCACCTTTTATTTGTGAACTCAGTTAGAAATTGTGGATAAAATATTCTCATTCTCATAATTACTTTTGATGATATACATTTTTGTGAACCATTCATAACGCCAAAGGGTCCAGATCAAAATTTCAGTGTTTTGTATTTGTGTTCTTCTTGGTCGATCTAGAGATGACGGCAAGTTGGTATGAGCAACTGATTATCTTTTTACTAAGACATACTTCAAACGATTTGAAATCTACTCCTGCCTTGAAAATTGCTAACGGGACCATATTAGGCCACTCTATTATGTATCTGTTCAGAACGTGGTGTAAATAGTTTTTTTATTAGTTTGTTCAGCAAATAATCTGATTTCAATATACTTAACTCTGTTTCAACAAGTACAAACAAAAGAATCTACCTTCAACTTTTTTAAATGATTTTTCGGTCCGATTCCTGACAACATCAAAAGTTGTGGAGTTCTTATTGTACCAGCCGATAAAATAATTTCTTTTCTGGCTCTAACGTTGTTTATTTTACCATCTTTGATGTACTTCACACCAGTAGCTTTCTGTTTACCGTTCTCGCCAGTGACAACGTGAACCTTGCTTACAAGTGCATTCGTTACAACGTGCAAACTTTCTTGTCTACAAATATAATCAAAAATTCGGTATTCAATATTTTGCAAAATATGTATACAGAAGCGGATTTGTGCAGTCAAATTTTCATTCAAATGTACGTTATCTTTAATAGTATCTGAATACCATTGGGTGAAGTGAACTTTTAATTAACCTTGATTCTGACTTAATACTTTACCGTTCTTTATATCCCGATCGCAAGAACGCGTCTGAG